AGGACCTATACATCGCTTTCCACACCTCCAAGTCTCCTAGAGGTGAGTATCTCTTGCCTCCCTCTCATACTCCTTGGCCAGAAGTCCTGCGCAGGCCCAAGGTTTTTTGGTCACCAGGTGACCCACAGGAGAGTTCCCAAAGGTAGAGACGTCTGCCCAAAGGAACTCCATTCCAGTCCATGTGGGACCCGTCCAGGATGGAGACATCTGCCTGGAGGTAATCTCCATTCCGGCTCCAGGAGCCTCCTGGTCTCTAGTGACTCCAAAGGACGCTTTGTAGCCAGGTAGAGTTCGGTTTCCGCCTATAGGCGAGAGAAAGGCAATAGGAAATCCCCAATCTAAAATACCTAGAGACACCCCTTTAGGGTGTCTTCTAACTAAACTCAAAACTTTACAATTAGAGCAAGATCTTAAATGAAAGTGACTGATTTTACTCTCCACTGTGGCATAGCCACAATATAAATTAGACAACCAGTCTCAACGGCCGCCTGAAGGCACCTTAGACCGTAACATTTTAATTAGATCTCTCTGATTTCTGCCAGAGGCTCGGAAAGTGGTCAGAAATTATCTATGTTCAAGGCTTTTAGGACTTGCGCTCTTGCCCAGACCTGTGCGCCCGATGTTAAATGGCCCAGGTCTTGTTAGCCTAAACCCCTAAACCTGGCCCTTGGCCCCCACCTCAGCAACTGAGGAGGATTCCACCTCCATTTCAGATGGGGCCGATGGCAGGCGACCTCCCTCCCGACTTTCCAACCCCCCTCCCTATGGACTTCCTACCGCCCCTCCTGATGCTCCTCCTTCAGCCACTCCTCTCACCCCTCCCTATGGAGCTCCCACCTCCCTGCCCGACACTCCTCCCTCAGCCACTCCTCTTACTGCTCCCATTTCCACCCACACTCGCTCCAAGACCGCGGTAGCGGCCCCCATTAGTCAGCCCTCTACCAGTCAGCCTGCCCCAAACCCCTCTACCAGTCAGCCTGTCTTAACCTACCCTATTGGTCAGTCTGTTCCAACCTCCCCTGCTAGTTTGTTGGCCCCCCGCCGAGAAGTTGCCGGAGCTGAAGGCGTGGTTGGAGTCCACGTCCCCTTTTCCCTGGCTGACCTTTCCAAAACTGAAGAACGACTTGGCGACTTCTCAGCCAACCCCACCTAATATTCCAAAGAGTTTCGATACCTAGGCCAGAGCATATAACCTTACCTGGCATGACTTACATGTCATTCTTACTTCCACTCTTAACCCAGAGGAAAGAGACTGCATTCTCGCAGCCGCCAGGCAACATGCAGATCAATGGCATTTAACCGACGCCACCGTCCTGTTAGGAGAGATGGCTGTCCCGTCCATAGAACCAAATTGAGATTACCAACCGCAGCAGCCTGGCCGCCGTAGGAAGGACATTATGATTCAATGTCTCTTAGCCGGTATGCAGGCAGCCTCTAACAAAGTGGTCAATTTTGATAAATTAAAGGAAATTATCCAACACCCAGATGAGAACCCGGCTTCCTTCCTAAATCGCCTTACAGAGGCACTGGTCCAATTTATCCAGCTAGCCCACTTCCCCAGCCGGGGCAGCTGTCCTAGCCTCCTATTTTATTTCCCAGTCAGCCTCAGATATTCGAAAAAAGCAAAAAAAGGTTGAAGATGGGCCTCAGACCCCCATACAGGAAAATTGGCCTTTAAAGTTTTTAACTCCAGAGAAGAAGCAGCTGAGGCCGCAGAGCTAGACAAGGAGAAAAGAAGGGCTGTGCTTCAGGCGCAAGCTCTAGTGGCTGCCCTCCAACCAGCGTTGCCCACTCTGCCGGCAGGGAAGACACAGGGCAAGTCTCCCAAGGGCTCCTGCTATAAATGCGGAGACCCAGGACACTAGGCAAACCAGTGTCCTCAGGCCAAGCCGGCCACTCCATCTCGTCCATGCCTTAAGTGTGGCACAACTGGGCATCAGGCAAAACAGTGTCCAAATCCTCACCTGTCTACCACGCCATGCCCAATCTGCCAACAGGAAGGACATTGGAAGTCTGATTGCCCCGCCAGCAGGGCAGGCATTGCACCTCAACGTGGTGCCTCTCCTCAAAGGCCAGAAGGCTCCTTCCAGCTCCTACACCTGGACGACGACTGACGATGCCCACACTCAGAGACCCTGGTCACCCTCGCCGAGCCTAGGGTAACTCTACAGATAGCGGATAAGCCAATTTCTTTTCTCATCAATACGGAGGTTACCTATTCTGTTTTGTCAACCTATGGAGGTCCTAGCCAGCCATCCACTATCTCAGTAGTTAGGGTAGACGGTAAACTGTCTAACCCTCGCCAGACCCCAATGTTAAATTACTGCCTGGACTATGCATGCTTTGCCCACTCTTTCCTCATCATGCCCTCTTGTCCCACCCCCTCTTGGGATGAGACATGTTAACCTAACTCAAAACATCTATTCCCCTTCCCTTTCTCCAGGTGACCAGGTTCTACTCAAGGATCAACACCCTCCTCAAATTTTCCCACTTCCTCACCATTCTTCATCTTAACTTAACTGACTTTTCCCTCATAAACCCCATAGACACCCTCCTTCCCGACCCATCCCCCAACCAGTAGGTTTCCCAACTTTTTACTCTCATAGAAGACCTAGCTTGGCAAGGTGCCCTTTGTGATTTCCTAATTCCCATACTAATCCTCTGCCTTGCCTTATATTTTGCTCCCATTTTAATAAAATTTCTCTGAGCCAGGGTCCAAGAGATCACCCGAATCACCTTCAACCAAATGCTCCTGCATCCCTACACCCAACTGCCAACCTCAGACCCTAACTATGCCCCCTAACAGCAGGAAGCAGCCAGACAGACAACGGTGCCCCAAATTCTTATAATCAATAAGAGGTTGGACTGTTTGGGTGAGGGAGAAAGGACAAGATGGAGGAAGGTTAACAAGAAGGCACAATCCATGTTGCTTCCAGGTTCTTCCTCACCAACTTTCCCGCGCACGGGAAAATGCAGCCCGCCCCGGGAAGATGCAGATCAATTGAGCATGCGCCAGGTGATGTCAATCCGAAGAGATCGAAACTTACCCGGCCACGCCTATGGAGACGCCCCTATCACGCCCTTATCCCGCCCACTGCCCTCCCCCTTCCAGCACCAATGCATAAAAGTCTGCTGCTGGTAAGCACTGGTGTGACTTCTTCGGCCCCCACATTTGTGGACCGGAGAACATCACCGGAGAGCACTGGCGTGACTTCCCTGGCCCCCCACACCTGAGGACCAGAGAACCTCGCCCGAGAGTGTGTGCATATTTGCAATAAAAGACTGCCACTGTCTTACGTACTTTGGCCTCATGTTTAATTACTTAGCTGTCCTAAATTAAGTTACATTAAATTAAATTAAAACACCTTCCTTCTTCCACATGGAGGTTTTTCCATATTTGTACATCAGGAGCTTTCTCTTTCTTTGTTACCACATTAAATTCCACAGGGTAGATGTACCATAATTTAACTGGGTCCTTATTGAAAGACAATTGAGCTGTCTCCTAAACAAAGCCTTGTGCACCTTCCCTAACAGAGGGTCTAACCAAGCAGGCAGGATGGGATTATAAAGTAGGTGGGGAGGTGGGAGAGACTCCACCTTCCCAGGTGGGCTGAGAACAGAGGTAAGGCCCTGCAACAGGACAGAGGGAAAAGTGGGGATGAGAGATGGGAGGCAAGATAGCACCTCCCCATCTCCTGAGAGGCTGGGCTCTCTGCTGTCTTTGCCTCCACTGACCAACCACCATCTGTTCTTGCTCAGCCCCCTCCTCCATTTGCCACTGACCTGTTGGCCTCCCCCAACCTCTGAGCCTGCTTCTGCCTGGGTAATTTCCCAAGACCCAGGAGGGGTGAGTGGTGAGGTGTGATTGCCCCCATCCCTTTGCCTCCCACAGCATCTGCTCTGGGACCATGAACAATAGCTGACAGCTCCATGGCCTTTGCTGTCCCCATCTCAGCTTCCCTGGGCATCTAAACCTCAGCTGCCCTGGGGTAAGAGGACGGGCTGAGGAAGCAGAAGCCTGAGGCTGTCTAGAGTCTCACTCTTGCATCAGCAGGCCACCACCTGTGTTTCCTCCTTGTGCAAATTTGAGAGGAATTGCATAAAACACTGGAGAAATGCAAGAGGGGAAGTCCGCAAGGGCAATGGTTCCCTCTATGATCATAGAGCAAGCTGGTGTCAGAGCCTGGACCTAGAGCACTATTGCATGGGAAGCAGGAGGAGGGTCCTGCCTCCAGGCCGGGGAAGGGCTCCCTCTCACCTCTACACACCCTGCATTTCTTGGCTCAGCTGCCCTGTGGTGGATGCAGGGTGGGGAGGGCAGAGATCTGGGCTTGGGAGGGTACACACTCTCGTGGCTGCTGCCCCTCCCTCAGGCCTTGTTCACCTCTGACTGTGGCTCTCTGGCAGGAATAGATGGCCTGGCAGATGATGCAGCTGCTGCTTCTGGCTTTGGTGACCACTGTGGGGAGTGCCCAGCCCAGGAGTGCGCAGGCCAGGACGGACCTGCTCAATGTCTGCATGAACGCCAAGCAGCACAAGGCACAGCCCAGTCCCGAGGACGAGCTGCATGGCCAGGTGAGGATAAAGTGGGGTCTGCGGCAGGGGAGACAGCTGCCTTTCACAGAGAAAAGTTAATGGGGTGGAGAAGTCAGCTGTGGAAGGTGATGAAGGCAGGAAGATGGCTGCTGTGATCCTGGAGGGCCTCCCCTGGGAGGTCACCAAATCTACAGTAATGAAGGAATCACACACCTAACACTCACTCTGAGCCTATGAGCCATGTGCTTTCACTCAGGCCATGTCAGTGAATATGCCCAAAGGGCAGGGTGGGTGCACTGTGGTCTGTACTTATGCAAATGAGGAAATAGGCCTACAGAGGGTACAGGTGCAAGTGGAAACTGAGGAGAGGGATTGGCCATACCTTTCCCAGCCTTAATTACGTGCCAGCCCACAGAGCTCAGCAGCACAGTAGAAGAGGAGCTGGGCCATCATGGTCATGGTGCAGCCTACATGTACAAACGGGCCAGGTTTCCACCCCCATTAGGTACTGAAGAGACAGCAACCAATCCGATATGCTGGGGAGACTTCCCAGTCAAGAGGCCCTTGGCCTTGGCCTGGGAAGATGAGTAAGAGTTTTCCAGAAGGAAAAAGCAGGGAAGGGCAGTCTGGCAGAGGACAGCATGCACACAGGTCAGAGGGTGATGGCACGAGCAATGGCGGGTCCAGTGTGGCCAGAGCCAGCAGTGCCACTGCCCACAAGGAAGGGGAGGGGAGGCCGGGACCCCCATGCCACAGGTGAGGCCACTGAGGCAGCTCCGGGAGTATGAGCTCCAATTTGAATTCCAAGCTCAGGAGAGTGCCTGTATTTCATTCCTCTGATCTCCTGGTCTGCTCTCTAGAAGGGGTCACATTCCCAGAGGGCTGGGGTATGTGCCCAGGGAGACACTGTGGTATGGACAGGCTCCGAGGGCTAAAGCAAAGAGAGGACAGCCTGGAAGCCCCATGACATCTGAGTCATTCCCAACATTCCATTTGCTTATTTTTAAATCGGAGTAAAATTTAAAATAAATAAATAAAAGAAGTTCTCCATTTGAGCCGTTTTTAGCTGTATGGTTCAGTGGTATTAAGTATGCTCATGTGGTTGTGCAACTGTCACCACCATCCATCTCCTGACCTCTTTCATCCACTAAAACTGAAACGGAAACTCTGTGCCCACCACTTCATTTGCTTTTCAGAACCTTCTAGAGCATCTACTTTTTGCCAAGAAATGTTGCAGATGTAGACTTTGAGAGATACAGATGATTATCATGCTCAGGGCCATGAACTATATGAGAGTGATATTTGTTGAGCCACTTCTATAACCAGGAAGTACTTTTCATTATATTCAGTAACTCTTTTCAGAGGCAGAAACCCCTGACCCTGACTGGCAAAACCCATCTCTGCCAATCCCCAAGACCCATGATGTGCAAGGGTCTTGCAGGAAGACCAAGAGTTGGGACATCCAAGGAAAAGCAAGTGTGAAGTCAGGCCGGCAGGAAAGCATGTTCTGTGTCAGCCCGCACTGGGCGTGGGCCAGGGTGTGGGAGATGGGTAGATCTGGCTCGACTCCCATGGATTTCCCTGTTGTTTCTCCTGGGTACTCAGACCTGTCACGCCTCTGCCATCACTTGACCCTAGGTGCGAGGGTTCATC